TATATATATAATTGATACAACTTTTAGTTATCTTAATAAATCACCACTTTTCTTTTCTTTTTTTTTTCTTCATATTTGTATGGACAAAAGAAACTACTTAGCCGGAGATGAAACAATTAAAGATTCATAACAAAATTGAATTGAAAATTGTCATATAAGAGTCAAAACTAAATTTTAAAAAAATAAGATTTTCATTAAATGAGATTCCATATAAGTTTTATTTTCTTTTTTGAAAATCTCCCCCCTTAAATTCACTTTAAGAATGCCAAGTGGTTTTATAATAACTTGCCACTTNATATATATATATATATATATAGAATGTATATAGATGTAAATATATATTATGTTTTTAAAGAGTTGTAGACAAAATTGTATAGTTTGTTATTGGTATATTTAAGATCAGTGGTGCCCGTTACGCTCATCCTGAGTTCTCCTCTACATTGAGTAAAGGTACCCTTGGGAATATCTTAATTTCGGTTTCGGCCTTCAATATTTAATATTTATTCTTTTTTGTTCTTTTCGCAAGAGTTTTCGCCTGATAAAAAAAAGACACGCAACCAAAACTATAACCAAGGCAGAAAAATGTAGAACCTTTTGAAGTTATCAGAATAGTCTATAAAGAGTATTCTTCTTTTCTCCGTGAGCGCACAAAAAAAAACTTCAACTGAGTATTCCCAATAGAAACAGTCCATCCCCCCCCCCCCCCCCGCGTTATTTTACATAGATCTTTCCTGCAAAACTCTGTTTTTCACCTAAGAAATCAGAATTCAAAGGGACGCCAAAGGAGGAGATGCTAAAAGCAAGGGACCAGAAGCTTAAATTAAGGTAGAGCCTGTCAAGCTTAATCCTATTTTAATCATCTTGATTTTCTTCAGTAATTGGTTTCTTGCGTTTCTTTTTTTCTTTCATTTCGGACAAAATAAGAACGAATCATTATATTTTTTTTAGTAATTATTTGGATATATAATTTGGTTTAATCAATTGTATATCATTAAATTTCACTAGAATTTTTTTTATCGGCATCTAATTAAAATCAAACAAGTTACTCGCTTGGCGTATGTTTAATGCGTGAATTTTGCTCACTGTACAAATGGATGGCTTAAAAGGATTTCTTCGAATACTCTATAAAATTTATTCACATCTGTTGTGTACACCAAATAAATGAATGAATATTTTGTATCGACCTTTTTCATTTAATCATAATTAAGGACTACTTTCGTTTCAATTTAAATGAAACACTTTCCTTATTAGTGTGTTCCAAAAAAAATGACACATTTCTATAATTGAAAATAATTTAACTTTAAATTTTTTATGTTACCCATTTTACCTTAATGAGAAGCTTTTATAATAATACAAATATCACAACCGCACCAAACTTTTATCCCTTAAACTTTTAAGACACAAGTTTCAAAAGTCTCTATTTTCTCTTAAACTCCGTGCCGAATCAAACTAACTCATCTAAATTAAAAGGGATAGGGCAGTATATATTTGAAGCTTATCATAACGCTATACCTTGGTAAGTAAATGTGGCTTGGAGTAAATATTGGATGCCGGCGATAGTTTTAACCCAGAGTTATCAAATTATTGCACCGAGCAGACCGGCCTGTAATTAGGCAGTTATCATATGACCAGTCGTTCACAAAAATTGCGCTTAACTACAAATTTTATTGGCAGTTATCTAGATGAAAAGCTTGGTGCTATCTGAAATGCCATACACTAGCTCCGCCCCTGTAGGCATGTCAAAGCAAACGTTTTTGTAAGATGGATAGATCTCCATTGCATTTTCTGAAGACTGGGCATTCACAGTCTTGTGTATGTAGGACGTTTGGACTATGTTTCCCTCCTTTCTGTACACATTCTCTTATATGGTATACATGGCAGCGGTTAAGTCAAACCCCCCCCACACTTCGCATTCAACTTGGGTGATGGCTTGAAATTTTAAAAAAAGGAAAAAGCATAAGAAAATTATCTATGTGAAAAAGCTAATCAATACATTGAATATATATACTAAAATCTGCTCTATGTTGAAAAACATGACAAGTTATCAGCTTAATTGGTAAAAGTGTGACTGCATATTCTTATGCATATAGTAGCATAATTCAGTAATTAACTATTATGTGAAAATAATCAAATTTAGTTCAACAAATTGCAGTATTACATATACACCCTCCCAGAAAATTTCTATCTTTGCTAATCAGATAATGTTAATTAAGTTTGAAGGAGCTTGAGTGCACTGGCGGAAACATAATTTTTACCAACGGGGTTCAAAAAATTAAAAAAAATAACACACACACAAGAAGTGTAAGGGGATTCAACGTACATCTAATATATATATACACGAAAAATAAAATAATTATATATATTCAGTATAATTTTTGGGGACTGAATCCCCTTCTGCTCACCTAGATTCGCCCCGGCTTGTGTGCATATGTGTTATGCGTTTGACTGATTAACTTAGGACAAATTTTTTGTCAAAGGCAAAAGTTACTTTCTTCCCACATATAACTACTATGAGAACCAATAGTATTTAATTTGTTCGACTGCAAAGTGTTTACTTTAGATAAATGTACACAGGAAGATGTCTACTGGGAACATGCCTGTGTATGTAACAAGCAAAATAATAAAGATTAAGAAACTAGACATCATGATGTGGTCCCAAATAAGAATTGGGTATTCCAATTAAAATTAAAAATAAATATCTGACTAGACTAAAAGACTCCTAGAAAATATAGAACCTAATGATCATCTTCTTTAACATTACATAGACCAAAATAATCTTCATTGATTTATTTTTAGTTTGTCTATGTAATTTTTTTGGGTGATATCTTCTCCAGAAATATGGTCAAGGAAATCATTGAAGCTTCCTTCTCTATAGGACAACATATTTTTTTCGTCGACAAGCTCAGGTGCGGGTCCAATTTTTTTCTCTAAAGCCAGACTATGGATGCTGGCAATTGAAATACGCTGCTTCTCTGAATTAACTATTGCTCTGTGAACAATTCTTTTGTATATGCCATTGCTCAATACTTCCAATTGATCTCCCAATTGAACCATTAGGGCTCCTTCAACGACTGGAACAGAATGCCACTTTTCATTTTTGTCCATTATTTGCAACCCTAGATGATTCTGAAGAATGATGGTTAAAAGACCGAAATCTGTGTGTGGTGGCAAGCCAAGTGTCAAATCTGGTTCTGGACATGTTGGATAGGAGTTAATGGCCATGACCTGAGACAAAGGTAGATTCATGATTTAGTATTTATGGATTCAAGGTATTGATTTCTTTGAAAGTATGGCTTCGAAATATTATACTCCCCCGATTTTTGTTTTTCATGATTCTAACTATGTAAATTTTAACCAAAATTTTAAACTATATTTTTTATTATATTGACATGGGAAAATTGTAACACAGAAATTTTCGTATAATTATTAAATATCTGAATTTTAACTTTAAAATATATAGTTAATCTAATTCAATTTAGTTTCAAAATTAGTCAAATTGACTCTCGAAAAGCTAAAGGTTCACATAAATTGAAACGAATGAAGTATTTAATATATATTCCATTTGTTTCATTTCATGAGTATGCGACTATGCACAGGGTTTAAGAAATAAAGAGTCATTTTTTGTACTTGTGTCAATAAATATGCCATACATGGCATATTTTTGTGCCTACAATAATTATGTCATTAACAATAAAATAAAAAGTTCAAAGTTAAATTGTTTGACATAAATTCTTTTTTAATCGGGTAAAAAGGAAAAAAATTCATTCCTTAATTATGCCTCGCCACTGACCTGAGAGCCTTGAGCAATTTCTTCATGCAAGTAATTTGGGTCTAGTCCTAAGCTCTCGAGTACGACTTCCATTAACTGTTCGTGTAACTTTTGTACTTCCCTTGCATAGTCTCCCATTTTCTTCCTGCGTGAAAAACTACTTTAACCACTTGAAAGAAAACATTGCAACTCTAGCCAAAAAAATCGTTAAAGAAATTAAAAAGCATTAAGGCGTAATTACTTGTAAGATGTTGGATTTGATGGCCACAAGTCGATAAAAGATGAAATTGGATTTGAATAGTGCTTGAGGAAGTCTCTCCAAAAGCAGGCTTTGTCTTTGGATTGATTCATGCTTGTACCATATCTTACCGGTGTGTAAACATTTGTGGAGTAGAGATTCATTTTCTCCTCATTTGGTAAATCGAAGAACTCACTTGCAACATCCAGGGCATCTTTCATGACTGACTGTGGAATTCCGTGATTAACTACCTGAAAAGAGAGCATAACCTTATAATATACATTTTATTACGCATGCANATATATATATTAGCTAAAATCATTGACGTTACTCGCAATATAGAAAGCCTAAACCTAGTGCGAAATTATATCCGACGAACTATATATGTAATAATATATTAGTATTAGTACAAAATTGGGTGGAAAGTTGAAATTTTGCACGAGATATAAAATTGTAGAGCGAGACTATGGGGTTATATGGACATGATTTATGTTCAAAGGTGCTGCTAAGTCAACGTCGAATCCTCTAAATCTGTAATATATCCGACACCGGTTGCGACATTTCGTGGAAGATCCAAGCAACATAAGTCCATGACAAAATTATGGAGTACCTTGAAGAAACCTAGGTCCTTGCAAGCTAGCAATACTTGTTCTATTATCTGAGGTCGAAGAAGGGAAAGATCCACAATTGGCAAAAATGTATAAGGACAGAGGTCTAAGGTGCCATCAGGACGTTGGGATGGTGGAAGGACATAACGTTTAGGAATAAAAGTATGTCCAGTTTCAGTTATTGTTGTGGCACTGGTAAATGAACTACTATTTGATGAAACTGAGCTTTCTCCTAATATTACTTTCTCCATTTTCTCTCTTATGTTGTTCTCTCAGATATGGGCAGCTCGATCCCTATTTATAAGCAGAACATTTGAAGTTTATTTTGTGTAGATATGCAAAGAAAATTTGTAGTTATACGTGCTGAGACCTTGACTATAAGCGATGTAATGTGTCTTGGCCGGTAGCCGGTTTATTCGCAAGTAAAGAGCCATACGATGTACTCCATTTGATTACTCAAGGTTTTTGAGCATCGAATGTATTGTAAAAATAAAATTGACACTTAGTGATTTTAAATATATCATAATATTTATGTAGTTTTGATAAGGTGGGTTGCTTTGATGGCAAGCACCTTCCACTTCCAACCAAGAGGTTGTGAGTTCGAGTCACCCAAGAGCAAGGTGGGGAGTTCTTGGAGGGAAGGATGCCGATGGTCTATTGGAAGCAGTCTCTCTACCCCAGGGTAGGGATAAGGTCTGCGTACACACTACCCTCCCCACAATAGGATTAGTAATGTTTCTATTTCATTTTATGATGTACTTTTCCTATTTGGGGAATCAAAAAGTTCTTGTTTGGTTATTATTTTTAAATATTTTAAATTATTAATTATTGTACCTGTGAAGTATTTAACCGGACATGATGTTTAAGAACAAAAGAAAGACTTTTAGCACAAATAAGAAGTATATTTAGTACTTGTGATCATAAACATATCACGTAACTGTGTGTCATAGAGCAAAATAAAATATTTAAAATATAAAAAGTGTTACAGTATTCTTATCGTAACATGCTAATAAAGAAAAATTACACACTATTATATAAAATGAAACTTATGAAATAAATAGTTTGAGTTGAAAAAGTATTACTCCTTACTTATAAAATGCTGGTGTGATGGTTGAAGATTTTTTGAGATGTGACTTGAAAAGGTATTAGCACAAGGGGTTTAAAATAAGGCATATATATTTATATTAAATATAGATTATTTTGTTAAAATAAAATAAAAATCTTAAAACTAAATTATTTTAAAAATATATAAATGTTAATTTAGAAAGACTAAAAAAGATCACATAAATTGAAAAATGAATAAGAAAGAATAGTATATATTGCTGGTGTGAAGGTGGAAGATTCCAGATGTAACTGGAGACACTGAAATCTGCTGGTGAGCTGGATATGTAAAGCGAAAGCTCGCTAGGAGAAGTGATCCAGTTTCTTACACGTGGAGCTTTTGAACATATCTTTAAACAAGAAATATCTTGATTTTTTTTTGTGTGTGTGATTCGATTTTGGAATTATTTGAATTTAGGTTTTATTGTCTTGGGATGGACCGAGCTCGTGAATAGTAAAGAGGAGAAAATAAATTAACGAAAGCTCGTAGGTGGGATTGCGACCCACTTTGCAAGCATTGGGTTTGGGATTTCAGTTATATGGATAGACATTAGGTAAACTCAATCGGGAACTAGGATCTCATATGAGTTTCAACAACAACAACAACTCAGTATAATCTTACTAGTAGAGTCTGGAGAGGATATTGTGTATGCAGACCTTATCCTTAACCTGGAGTAGAGAGACTGTTTCCGATAGACCCTCAGCTCCCTCCTTCCAAGAACTCCCCACCTTGCTCTTGGGGTAACTCAAATCTACAACCTCTTGGTTAGAAGTGGATGGTGCTCACCACTAGAGCAACCCACTCTTGTCATATGACACACTCAATTTCAAGAAAGATCCAGAATAGTGCATTTTTCTTTATAAGACTTTTTCATAAAACTAATTTTTATCGGGCACGTGTAACCCCCTAAACTATTGCAAAAATTAGATAGGAAAAAGTAATACTATAAGAAATATTCTTTATAAAAGGTTGAAGATGCTGATTGTTGCATTATATAACGTAGCCGAAGTAATTCCGGTATCGAATTCATGTATAAATTAAATAATTAGCACATACGTAATTTATTCGAGTTACCTTTTGAATCTTAAATCAATCTTGTCGGTCTCCAGTTCCAGAGCAACACGATCACGACCTCCACAAAACGTCCCACAGTCTTCTATTGTATTACCTAAATAATATCCGGAAAGAGTGAATTTTGGGTGGGCGAAATTCCCGGGAAAACTACACCAAAAAAACGGTTAGCCTTTATGGAGGAAATACTCATGTATTTATAGCCACATTTTTAGGGTAAAAGCCTTTTTCCAACACATGTTGGGTTTTCTTTTCCACCAAGGAAAAGTTTCATTTATTTTCTATTATTTAGTCACAGTAGGGACCACATAATTTAATTAACAAGGCTCTCTATTATGGAATTAATTTCGAATTTTAAAATTAATATCTACCATAATAAATTACGTATTATTCCATTAAAAATTCGTAATTGCATTCCTTAGTTCAATTTCGAATTTTTTTTCATAAAACCTTATTTAACTCCCCATGTTAAGGTTCAGATACTAATCAATCAAATTAAATTACTCACAATTTAATTTATTGATTACTTCCTTTAGGATTTTGCTTAACTTATTTCATGTGTCAGATACAAAATCCACTGGTTGGGTTTACACATGAAAACTTATAAGCTTTCATAAACGAGTATCATCAATATCAAAATCGAGATATGAATTCTATCGATTAATTATTATTTTGCCAATGTATATCATTATTGTCCAATTTACGAGGCTTATTGACCAACGAAAGAATCTCTCCTTTTAATAAATTAAAACAATAAATGATACACTCAACTAATAATAATTATATCAAGATTAAGAGTATAAGTACACTGAATGGACTATAGAATTATTTTATTAAGTCGGAATAAAATGCTTATATCTACTCGATCCGTTCAATACATATAAAATGTACTAGCACAAGAAGTCAGAATTAAACCAATCCTATAATCAAGATAAATTATATTTAATCTTGTTCTACAATCATTCTGATGGTTTGTCCAATTCCATCATTAGATTGTGAACATAAACTTTATGTCTTATAAGAACCGATAATTTAATCTTTAGTGTATAAGCTAAACTCTTTACACTAAATCATTTACTATATAAGCAAAGGACACATAAACAAATACATGATCTATTTAAAATAAAACTTTATTGAATTGAATAAATAAATAAATAATTATTTCATAAATAATACTATAACAAAACGCCTGGTTTATAGTATACCCTAACAATCTCCCACTTAGACTCATAACCATGCGCCTATAATCTTAACACCCATTCCATATACATGCCTATCAAAAGTCTTCTGTGGTAAGCTCTTAGTAAATGGGTCTGCCAAGTTGTTCTCTGACGCAATCTTGATGACTACTACATCCCTTCTTTGCACTATGTCACGAATTAAATGATATCTACGCTCAATGTGCTTTTCTCATTTATGGCTTCGTGGCTCCTTCGAATTTGCACTATTATCATAGTAAAGTGTAATTGGTGCTTGAATTGAGGGAACTACACCCAAATCTCTTAGGAAGTTTCCGAGCCAACCCGTCTCTTTGGCCGCCTTAGAGGCTGCCACATATTCGGCTTCCATGGTGGAATCAACAACACAAGATTGCTTGATTCTCCTCCAATTTATGGCTTCACCTCCTAGAGTAAACATATTTCGTGAGGTATACTTTCTAGAATCTCTATCAGATTAAAAATCCAAATAAGTGTACCAAATGGGTATAAGATCATCTGAATGGTAGATTAGCACATAATCAGCAGTCCTTTTCAGGTACTTGATTATATGCTTAGCCGTAGTACAATTCTCTCGCCCAAGATTAGATTGAAATATGATAACAATACTATGGCAAAGCAGATGTCAGGTCTAGTGCATAACATGGCATATATCAAACTCCCAACAACAGATGCATAAGGGAGCATCTTCATCTTTTATATCTCTTCATCAGTTTTAGGAGACCGATTTTTAGATAGAGCAATTTCATGCCTGAAAGGAAGAAATTCTTTCTTAGAATCTTATATACTAAACCTGGAAGTACCGTATCAATATAAAGAGCATGAGAAAAGCCTAATATTGTTTCCTTGCGATCTCGCATGAGCTTGATCCCAAGGATATGAGTCGCTTCTCCCAAATCTTTCATATCGAAGTATGTGGACAACCATTCCTTAACAGAACCCAACATCCCAATATTATTTCCTACGAGCAATATGTCATCTACATATAAAATTTAAAATGCCACTTTATCCCCATTCCATTTCTTATATACACAAGACTCGTTAAGATATTGATCAAAACTAAAAGTTTTAATCACCTTGTCAAAATAAGTGTTTCATGCCCTAGATGCTTGTTTCAGTCTATAAATAGACCTTTTAAGCCTACACATTATGCGTCCCTTGCCACTTTCCACGAAACTGTCTTGTTGCATCATATAGATGCATTTATGAAGACTTCCATTGAGGAAAGTTGTCTTGACATCCATTTACCAAATCTCGTAATCATAATAAGCAGCATTGGATAAAAGAATCCTAATAGACTTAAGCACGGCTACCGGCAAAAAAGTTTCCTCATAATCGATCCCTTCTTTCTGAGTGAACCCTTTCGCTACAAGCCTTGCTTTAAAAGTTTACACTTTTCTGTCTACACCTATCTTTTTCTTATAGATCCACTTACATCCAATATGTTTAACCCCATTAGGTAGTTCTACAAGATCCCAGACTTGATTAGAGTACATAGACCTCATCTCTGATTTCATAGCACTAACACACTTATCAACATCATTATATTGTAATGCTTGGTCGTAATTGACAGGTTCAGTATTAGGCTCCTCAAGGATCCTACCATATGATTCTCCGAAGAGCGTATAACGAACTGACTATCTTATTTCTCTCCCACTACGACTACGAACTGCATTAGTTACAACTACACGATTATGATCTTGTGGTTGAACCGCATCATTATCAAGGACCTGAGTCTCCATGTTATCTACATGGATATCAACGACTTCATCTTGTTGTGCAGTTTGCTCAACATTACTCCCACAACTTTGTGGCAATATGACTTTGGGCACTTGTTCTTGCATAACATCAAGTCTATTGACATTTCTACCTCTACTAAAATGCAATGGTATGTCAAATTCGACTTCCGGGGTTTGTACCTGGTCGTATTGTTTTTCAAACTGAATTTTCATTCCTTTTCTTAGTTCATATAAAACAATTTTACTTATAGTAACATAGTTCATCAAATAGTCCTCTTCAAGAAACTTGGCATTTGTGCTAATAATTACCTTCTTTTCTTTAAGACAATAGAATAAACCACCTTTCGATCCCTTTGGATAACACACAAACACACATACATCCGTTCTCGCCTCCAATTTATCTATTTTTCCTTTCAGCACATATGCCAGATAACCCTTAACTGGAATATGCTGCAGACTAGGCTTGCTCTTTCTGAGGCAAGGTTGTCACGACCCAAACCGATGGGCCGC